CTCGTCTCGGTACAAGCCGAGTCCAGAAAAGATTGAAGAGACAACATCAGGAGAGATCACTCGGTCTCACGACCCAACAGAGAAAGATATCAGCCATATGTCAGGGTCCACGCCCCACCTTCCCTCCCCTATGAGGAAGGCCTATCCAGGCCGAGGACAAGGACTCACTGGAATGAGAGATGTATGCCCCTATTATCTGCTCACAATTTTTGCATATCACCTACAAAAATAGTCTACGTTCTGGAAAAGCTCGAAACGAAGGTAAAGTTACCGCCAAAGATGAGGTCCAATCCGAGCACTAGAAAATCCGATGCCCTCTATGAGTTTCACCAAGAACGAGGGCACAAAATAGAAGATTGTATCACCCTCAAGCAAGAAATCATGAACATGTTGCGGCGGGGACACCTTAAAGAGTTGCTAAGCGAAAAGGGGAGAAATAACTTCGCTAGAGGACGTGAACACCAAGGTCTACCGAAACTGCCATCACCAGCTCGCACTATCAACACGATCATCGGCGGCTGCGACGATGCCTCTATCAATGGCGTGAAATTCACCACCACTAATAAGCTCAAGCGATCTATCACCTATGAACGGTACAACGGTCTCAAAGAAAGTATCTTCGACGAGTCAGATGCCGACAATTTGGATTTCCCTCATAATGATGCCCTCGTCATTACTATACATATTTTAGATACTAATGTCAGGAGTATCATGATGGATGATGGAAGTGGAGCATGTAGTATCCATCCTCGAGTCCTCAGCCAAATGAGACTTGAGGATAAGATAGTGTCATGCTGCATTACGCTAACCGGTTTTAGTAATGCAGTTGAGCGAACATAAGGAGAAATTACAATCCACGTCTTGATCGGTGGCGTGACGTTGGATACGATGTTCCACATCATGGACCAGGCCAACGTGTACAATGCCATAGTGGGACGACTGTGGATACATCCCATGAGGGCCATCCCTCCAGCCTATACCAAGGGATTCCGGAGCTCTTGACTACCAAGAATTAAGTCCAAAGGTTGACTGGTCGAATCGCCGCCCTATCGAGATTCATCTCGCGGTCATCTGATTGATGTCACAAATTTTTTGGCATGCTAAAAAGGAACAACGATCTTGAATGGACTCCTGAGTGCATCCAAGATTTGGGAGAGCTGAAGGCATATCTATCATCACCACCTCTACTTTCAAAGCCCAAACCTGGGGAACACATCCTCGTCTATCTAGAAGTATCCAAAGTTTCAGTAAGTGCAGTCCTGATCCGTAAAAGTAAAGGTATGTGATCTCCCATCTATTACATTAGAAAAACACTTATCGACGTTGAGACGAGGTATCCGTACCTCTAAAAACTAGCCCTAGCACTGGTCATAGCTTCACGAAAGCTTAGACCCTATTTTCATTACCACCCTATCTCGGTCATTACAACCTTTCCCCTGAGGAGCATTTTGCATAAACTCGAGCTATAGGGGAGGCTGGCCAAGTAGGCCATCGAGCTAAGCGAGCACGATATCACATACTAGTCACGAACGGCGATAAAGTCGCAAGTGCTTGACGACTTCGTCGCAGATTTTAGTGCAAAGATAATGCCTGAAGTCGAAAAGGAAGCCATCCAAGCTTCCCTCCAAACACAAGACCTCTGGTTCCTATACACCGATGGCACATCCAATGCTTCATTATCCGAACTACAACTCGTACTCGAGGTCTCTATAGGCGAAGCAATTTGCTAGTCCATAAGGTGCCCGGATATGACTAACAATGAGGCCAAATATGAGGTCGTGATTGTAGGGTTGAGGCTAGCACTCAAGTATGGGGCGAAACGGTTGAAACTGTACTGTGATTCCCAGCTCGTAGTCAACCAAGTGGTAGGGACTTTCCAAATCAAGGAACAAAGGTTGCAAAAATATCAGACTGAGATATGCAAGCTACTGCCCGTGTTCGATGAATGTCAGCTCGACCAGATCCCACGTGCGCAGAATGCCAAAGAGAACGACCTTGCCAAACTGGACACAACTACCAAAAGCATCACGATCGGGGATAAAAGTGTAGTACACCTCCTCAACTCATCACTAGACCAAATCGAGGTAAGAACCGTAAGCTTAACTTAGGATTGGCGCAATCATATTATCGCCTATTTACAAGGGAATAGACATCGTGGGGCCCTCATAGTAGAATGAGGTAATGTATGATTCCTTTTAGTTTTAACTGACTATTTCTCTAAATAGGTGGAAGCAGGAGTGTTCGTCCAAATACGAGAACAAGAGGTAACCACCTTTATATGGAGGAACATCATCTGCCGATTCGGCCTACCCAAGGAGATCAGTTGTGACAACAGACCCCAGTTCACGGGAAAGAAAACTACCAATTCTTCATAAAATGGCATATCAAGAGGATACTTTCAACTCCAATCGCCCAATGGGTAATGGACAAGTAGAGTCCTCCAGTAATTTCATATTGAACATCATAAAGAAAAAGCTCGAAGACGCCAAGGGACTGTGACCGGAGATACTGTCAGAAGTATTATGGGCGTACTGAACAACTCCGAAGACAAGCATAGGAGAGACGCCATACTCGTTGGTCTGTGGGACCGAGGCAATAATACCGGTCGAAGTCGGAGAACATAGCCTAAGGTACTCCCACGAAAGCGGTACAAGTAATGATGAGAATAGAAAGCGGGAACTCAACGAAATCGATGAACAAAGAGATATGGCGTACATAAGAATGGTCGCACAAAAACATCAAGTTGAACTCTATTACAACAAGAAAGCAATGGTCCGGCCGTTTAAAGTCGAGGACTACGTGCTCAAAGCAAAAACTCAAGCGAGCAAAGACCCACGGGAAGGCAAGCTGGGAATAAACTGGGATGGTACGTACAGAATCACAGCCAAAAAGCAAACAAGGGTTCGTTCCAATTAGAGACAATGGAAGGAAAGCAATTACCAAACAATTGGAATATCAACTTCTAAGAGAAAAAGTGTCCTCCAAGTCGTACTATTTTTCCCTCACTTGAGTTTTATCCCATTAGGGTTTGCTTAAGGAGGTTTTTAATGAGGCAGCAAAAGAAACACTTCGAGTCAAAGTACGCGAGGGAGGGACTGTTTTTACACTTTCATTGCCCGACTCCTCAATACTCTCCAAGTCAAATAATGAAGGGCTAGGTAGACTGGGACTGGAAAGCCAGCTAACACCCAAAATCTGTAACTCTCTCCAAGTATGTAACCAAAGCAACAACGTCGAAGTAATTAGAAACTTACATTTATAGGGACACCTTTTTTTGTTAAGGTTATGTTCGAACACGCTCGAACAACAACTATCGGCCCTCGGCTGCAATTTAATAAAAGGTTAAGTTCAACCCAGCTTGAACAACACCTATCGGCCTTCGGTTGAGATTTAATAAAAGGTTATGTTCGACCACGCTCGAACAATACCTATCAGCCCTCAACTATGATTTAATAAAAGGTTATGTTCGACCACACACAAACAACACCTATCGACCCTCGGCCGCGATTTAATAAAATGTTAAGTTTGGCCCAGTTCGATCAGATAGCTATCGTCCCTCGGTCGCGATCTAATAAAAGGTTAAGTTTGACACAGTTCGAACAACACCTATTGGCCCTAGGCCACGATTTAATAAAAGGTTAAGTTCGACCCAACTTGAATAACACCTAGCGGTCCTCGATCGCGATTTAATAAAAGTTTAAGTTCGACCCAATTCAAACAAACACCTATTGACCCTCGGTCGCGATCTAATAAAAGGTTAAGTTAGACCCAGTTCGAGCAACACCTATTGGCCCTCGGCTACGATTTAATAAGAGGTTAAGTTCGACCCAGTTCGAACAAATACCTATCAGACCTCGGTCATGATTTAATAAAAGGTTAAGTTCGACCCAGTTCGAATAAACACCTATCGGCCCTCGGCCTTGATCTAATAAAAGGTTAAGTTCAACCCAGTTCAAACAACACCTACCGACCCTGGGCAGCAATTTAATAAAAGGTTAAGTTCGAACCAATTCGAACAAACGCTATCAACCCTCGGCCTCAATTTAATAAAAGGTTAAGTTAGACCCAGTTCAAATAAACACCTTTCGGCCCTCGGGAGAGATCTAATAAAAAGGTTAAGTTTGACCCAGTTCGAGCAAACACCTATCGGCCCTCAATCGCATCTTAATAAAAGGTCAAGTTCGGCCTTGTTCGAAATATACCCATCAGCCCTCGGCCGCAACTTGAAAAGGGAGAAAATTTTGACCATGTCTGAATAACACTCATCGACCCTCAGCTGCATTTTAACAAGCTTTGACATATACAAGGATAACGATAAAAGTAAGAAGGAGCAAAATATGAAAAGTGCATAAACAAACCACAACAAATAAAAGAGGTGCAGATGAAAGCAAAACAAACTCCGATATTTATAAACAAAAGTTTCTTACAAAAGGATCATGAAGACGCCAACAAAAATACACAAAAATGATAGAAAATACAAAAAATTACTGCTGGCCACCTCCATCACTACCTGCGACACCCTTGTCGGCCTGATCTCTAACATCTTCTCTGTCCTCGCATGAAGGGTATATGGAATCATACCAGGTCTCGTCCTCAAGACGATATATAGCTTCATCATCATCCCCACCTTCTTCATCAGGACGAGGCATAGTCGAGTCATAGCCACAAGCAACTCGAGCCTCATGAGTCTTGACAAGAGCATCCTCAAAATCAACGACAGGAATAGAACTCGCCATGTGGAACTCATGCAACACATCTAGTCGGGCCTCGACATGAATCCACTCTTTGTATAACTTGCAAGGACGTTAGGGAAGCTAGAAGCCGTAGATGAAGAAGGCTGCGCAAGTAATTTGGCCTCTCAGCCTTTAGAGCAGCAATCTGATCATAAAAATCAGAGGTCTCTTTCTCCAACTCCCCAATCCTTTCGTCAAGCTGCTCTTCTTTATGCTTTGCCGTCAACAAATCATTTTCTTGTTTAGAGCAAAGATTTTGGTTTTCCACTTCAAGAGATTCCTCCCTCCTATGAGCCTCCGACTGAGCAAACTCTGCCTTCTCTAGATCCTCCATCTTCTCGGCAACCTCGTCGCTAAGAGCCTCCACGCTGAATTGACACTCCTCAAGTTGGCCCCGCAGCTGGACCACTTGGTCTTGGAGATCACTGCACTAGGCTTCTACCCATGCTAAGCTTAATCTCTTCCTCTTTGCTCCTCAATGTCCCTTCTAGGACGCTGCACTTCCCCACTACCCGCATCAGTTCCTTGTCCCTTTCCTTCAAGTCCTCCCCCAGCTTGCGCACATTGTCGCTTTCGTAGAGCCGACACTGGAACTCCCGATACTTTGCAAGACATTTGAAATACTTGTCCTTCAACTTCAAATGTCTTTATGTTTCTTCTCTCGATGGGGGGACTATATCCTCGGTGCTCACAAGAAGATTAAAATCCATTGGGATCACAATAGTCTTGGATCCTCCTTCCAACCTCACATCGAGTTGAGTGAGCCCCTCATCGATCATTCTCAACTCGTTTGTGCCCATGTCAAAGTCAGATATGACATCCTCCTCGCGAAGGTCTTCCCTCTACCTTTAGTCGCAAAAGAAACTTCCGCTACAACCCTAGAAGACGAGGCCCCTTCTTGTCTCGGAAGTGTAGATCTATCATTATGCACCTCGCCCTCGGTCGTGTCCTCCGCAAGATGCGTGCACATCTCCTCTAAGTGCGGAACCTCGGGACCCTCCTCAAGGCTTTCTCCAATGTGCATTGTGGCCGTATCTCGAAGAACAAAGCCACAATCCCAAAATATATGGCTACCGGCCTCCCCCCGTATCCACGACTCTCCTTTTG